AGAATCATTAATGTACCATGAACATCGCTACATGATATCACAGATGACCTTAAACAAATGCCTTTTCTGTCCTCCAGTTGAACTGACAATATACGCACATCTTCAGGAAGCAGTCGTCTAAACAGAGTGTTAAATTTTAAAGAGTTTTGGATGTGGTTTTTCTCTTTTAATCCTGCGGACATCATTTATGACAATGAGTCATTAGAAAATTCACATTTGACGTACATGTGAACGCATTTAATCTATAGTAAACAAGCCAAATCTAAATCTTACAAACACATTGAAAGATTAAATCATCTGCTGATAGAGAGCAAGAAGGGTATTAACTCTAAGAAATAATATGATTTAATACCCTTCTGGTTCTTAACAGCTAGACCTAGCTATATGTAGGTCTACATATCAGCACCTGAAGAGAAACAACCTTTTCATAATCATACAACTTATACATAATAGGACATTATATGATACAAACCTAATTATAATTATGTCAGATCAGACTAACTAGCTCTTAGCTAATCATGTATCAAATAACCTTCATCACAAAGTGACTGGTTCATAACTTCATACTGTAAAGATCAGCATATTAATTGCTTATTTCTGTGAATTATGAAGCCCATAAAATGATAATTAGAGAAAATATTACAAGAGTTAACTTTGAAAAGAAAGACCAGGGGGAAAAAAAGCTTTATCTTTTATAAGCTACCTTAATACTCATTGGCTACTTCAATTATGAAATAATCCATTCCTTTACATACGACATAGCCCTTAATTTGTCTGACTGCATCAATGCTTCTACACCATATGGTATGAAGGACTCTGTCCGTCTCGTTAAATGAAATGATTACTAGAGCGTCTGCTGGCCACTGTGTATTGCAATCCAACGTCTCGTCCAATCATTCAGTCATTCATTCATTCATGTGTTTAATAGTGAGAAGACTGAGCTTAGAGGTAGGTTATTAATTAGCAGTATTATGAGGATGAGTCAGCCACATGGAGCGCAGCTTCCAACCACATTAAGGTCATGAATGGACAACTGTTTTTCGATGCATATACCTCTTAAACCTCTTTTGAAAGTTTATTCCTAAAATTTGAAATTGAAAACTTGAATCATAACAATTCATGAATGCATTACCAATCCTATGTATGCTCAAGATTTAATGTAACAGTGGTTTGGAAAAATGTGTCCGGTATGGCATATGTAAACACGTTCCAATGATAGTAAAAAAAGACTTCTGTCATAAGTGACCTCAGGACCTTGCATCATTTTCTGAAGCTCCTTAAATTCCCCAGGGACCTATTTTCTCTTACTGATGACCCCGATTATTTTTCATAAGGAAATAGCCTACTTTCATAAAAAATATGTTCCAAAGTTGCTTGTTTTCAGAGTTGACAATTACATAATCTCTGATACAGAGCGTACTAAAATACAATAGCCAGGTTCTGATACTTAATTACATGTATGAGTACCACTTCTTTGTTTTTTGTTTAATGATCTTTGGACTTCTATCTCTGATCTTTGTAGTCTATCCTTAATTGCCTTAATTATAAACTCAGGAACAATACCAGGAAGAAACAGATAACTCGGTTGGACCTCACTTCTACTGATAGTGATACTATTCATATCACAAGGGAACAACTTTGACACTAATCTACTTAATTACTGATTGTCAGAACATTTTGAGAAAAAATAACAGTAAGAAACAGTAAATTTATCATTAGCTATTTCCCCCCACACTGTGTACTTTCTATCAACATACATCAACTACCAAATCCAAGATCATATTCATCTTCTTATCAAACTATTATGTCAAGTGATACTACCATAAGAAAAAGTCTGTAAATATAAATCTACAAAGTACTCATATTTTGCATATAATCAAACACCTTCTATCCTGGATAGTCTTGTAAGACAGACTGTAGTTTCAACCAAATTTCTTTAACAGAATGGTAAAATTTATTAATTTCTTCTTGTCCACACTTTTTAACCCCCCAAAAAAGCATGAGGTTCCATGTTCTTTTATATTTTTCTTACCAAACCGAAAACTGAATTTGTTAAAATAAAGTTTAATTTCTCCATGCATGACAGAGGTTCAAAACAAAAAATCTTGACGAAATCAATAGGTGATACGTAGACTTTGTACGTATCACTTAATTAAATTGCACTGTACTAAACATGTTTGTTACTTTACTGTCTAACAGTAACACTTGCTAAGATTCTTCTACATTCATGCCAAAGAAATAATATCATATAATTAAATGAAGGGTGTGGGATGAAAGGAATGCCCCCCCCCCCCCCCCCCCCGAGGCAAGACTCTAGGTATCAAGCTTACTTGGCCTTTGAGAAAGAAAAGGGTAATTACAAATTCAGCTTCCCTTTATACAGCACTGTCATGTCCTAAAGAATCCTCATTATTTGATCAACATGTAATCTTTTGAAATCTTAAACTCATTATGGTCACATATAATTTATAGCCAATATCATGCACATTATATTTGCACTTGTGATTTCAGCTACCATACTATACAAGCAAAAGGAAATGAGCTCAAAAATTAATATTTGCTCACAAAATGACAAGGCAAATTTTCATCAGTCACGTAGATAGTGAGGTGAAAATTCAATTTTTGTGAGAAATTACTCCTTTTTCCTGTTTTTCTCAAGTTAGTATAAACTTGGAACATGCAATCATCATGGTTCAAAATGGTTTGTAAGATCATAACATAAACATAAAATTGTGTTCATGGATTATACATGTACATGTATAATATAGCAGGTATGAGATGGATTTTTTTTGTTAAATACCTTTAAAAATACATGGGGCCAGTGACAATGAATTTAGATTACAGTTTATAGAAATCTTTAAATGTTCAAATAATCATTTGGACTCTGATCTTCAATGCTAAAAGTGCAAATGTGACTTCAATTATCACTAGTCCTGGGCGAATCTTACTCTTGACAGCTCAGCTGATACAATCTATATCCAGGATGTATTTCATCAATATCTTCTGATGAAGAAATTCTGTGCCGCCCCCCCCCCCCCACGCACACATACATGTACACCTACTCCACCAAGAAATCTTATCTAAAGATCAAACTTAGAGGCTTATCACAGTCATCCATTTCCAGGATATGTATGATTATTTTCAAAATATAATGGCATAATTTTGTTTTTTAAATCAGATACAAGAATTTTTAAATTAATGTTAATGTGTGAGAAATCACTTCCTTGTACGTTTAAAAACATGAGCCACCAAATTGGAATCTTCATTATTACATACCTGTATGCACTCGTGCATTTTGTGTAACATGCCCTGTTGTAAAGGGGGAAGTCCCTCCCTCTCTACCTCTCTTCAACGTTCACTATAATGGGTTTGATATCTATACAATTCTTAAGGAGCACCAAAGCACACAATCTCTCCTTTGTACCTTCTCTAAATAGCTAATATTTAATTGTTAAATATTGTCGTCTTTCTGGGCGTTTCCATCCAAAAGACCTTTGTAGTATGGTGTTTCAAACAGGAAGAATGCTATTGTGTGTTTGCATACAATGTACAAGCAGTGGGAATAAATTGACATCTGTAAATAGAGGATTTTGGTATCAATAAGGCATGGGACGAACATAAATGCCTGTAGTATGTTCACATATGCCTGCATGTATATCTCAGCAAGTCACATATGAAACCAAGAGGAATAGATACCTCATAGATATATAGTAAACTTGTAAATGTCACAGCAATCTTTTCTAAAAATAATCGCCACACGGACATGAAATTTGAAAGAAATGGACAATGGTTGCCCTTTCAATACAATATAATGATTTCAACAAAGTTTTTACCAGCAAGCATCTAAAATATTTTGAAATAAGATATGATTGTATCATGAGCTTATAAATACAATGTACATGTCCATGTTCATGTATTAAAACCTTTAAAATAAATTTGTTTTTAAAGAGCATATATGAAAGCTGATATATGTTTAAAAAAATAATAATAATTCCGCTTTTATATAGCGCTTAATACATCTAAGATGTCTCTATTAAAGCCTCCACCAGTTGTGTTAGTTGCTATTTAAGGCATGAATATTAGTCTCCCTAAGCCCATACATTGTACATACATGCATGATGTGTTTATACTTAGTAAAATGATAACAGCTTAAAATCTTACATCCAGGGAGTCACAGGGGGCATGTTCCCTCCCCTCCACTGGAAACCTACTGAACTTATAACATGTTATAATTTACTGTGCCCCATCACCCACACCTTTTTACAACACCTATGTGTGTTCAGAAATGCTTATTCTAAGCAAACTAATACCATCATTCCATATACTCAAAGTATGACACACTTGTAAATATGCATGTGATCGAAAATGCATGACAAATTAGCAAGTTATCAGAAGAACACAACAGGTTCTTCACAATACTGCAGACCATTGGACTTTAAGGTTTTTTTAATCATTAGATTATATTTGGCATAATAGTTAATGCATTGAGCAAAATAAAGATTAAGTTTCTGCCTCTGTTATCAATGTAATAATCATTACCGGTAATCTAAATATTTGCCATATTTGAATATAACTCAAGTGAAGGCAAAGTCCTCAACAGCCAATGTAGGTAAACTCCCACTTGACAGAGCTGCAGGTACAGGGTCGATCTACACAGAGGGGAACTCCTGCGTTGAAGGGTGCTATCAAATTATCGAGAACAGTAAATATTGATAATAATAATGAAAGGAAAATTCACATCTTACTTCTCTATAAATTTTAGACAGAGCATTTTAGTCTTTCATCTTACAATTTGGCAAGTAAATTCAGGGCCCACAACCGCGATAATGAAACAGTTGTAATCTTTTCACAAAACAATTTCATAAAATTCTGCAGCTACTTGAGAGGTTCATGTAGTTTGGAGTAATATAATATGATGCTATGAGATTATAAGGATGATATACCATAAGCAGCAGCAAGTAAATATGTTTGATTGCTTGGTAATTTTAAAAAGTTGTTACCTTTGGTTTTCCCCTTTTCCGTGAAGATAACTGCAACATAATTGAATGTAAACAATACAATGAATCATTTTTCTGAAATTACATTTAAATATTACAAAAAGGAAATACAGGATATCCACTTAATATCAAGCACATGAAAACAAATTCTGGAAAAACGCAATGATAACGATGATTACTAGGATGATGACAACAAAGACTTGGAAAAGTAATTCATTTTGCTGTATAAATATTACAGACTATAAGCAGGATTCAGTCATAATCATTGAAATAAATATATGTAATATCTTTGAGAGTACACGGTACATGTCAGCACAATAATCAAATTACAGGAGGCCGGAGCTCATGATGCTAATGTATTTGCTACCGTTGCAGTCCTACTCTGCAAATAGGAGCTACCATTTCCTATGATGTAATAGAACTGTTCATTTATTTAGTAGCTACCGTTGCATTCCTAGTTTTCCTACTGTGTAAATATGAGCTACTATTTTCTTGGATTACTTCCTCAATACTGACCATGTATTGCAGTATGACATGAGCAAATGTGGTCATCGGTATCGGTATGTATTCTCTTCTTTCCCAATGAAAATTGGTTATAACCTAATCTCCTTTCAAGTTCTATAGTTTACAAGCAGCAGTCATTGCGTATGTAACACTCAAGGAGACAAATGACAACTCATAAAATATAAGAGAAAATGTAATTTAAATTCTTTTCTAAAAGCAATGAACACGGTCTCCAAAGAGACCAAGAACATGGTCATTGAGACATGTTCATATGATAATAGATGAGTGTACATCTCTCTCCCGACTGCCTCTAATTGAGAGGGACTTGAACATGAGTGCAATACAAACCTAACCCCATATAAACTATGACTAACTTTCAGCTTAGCTCAAGGCATGCATGCCGACTGATCATGTAACATAGAATTGTATCTTTGGAAGTCAGAAGGGTGTTAACTCATAGTTTAAAACCCTTCTGACTCTATTAAGACGATATCGAACATGGATCTTAGGTAGATGTGGGACGAGTAGGCCTAGTAATACCAAATTTCTTTTCTCCTTGTTCTTTCTCTGGCTAAAATTGGTTTTCTTCTCGCTATTTCTCATTCATTATCTACCCGGTAGCTATGATGGCATTTAAGGGGGAGGGAGGTGGGCTTGCATTACTTATTTAGAGAAATAAATGTGAAAACTGAAAAGGTTGTTCAAATAAAGGGTGGGTGATGTAGGGGTCACAGCATCTTCTTTCCGGAGGGGTCACAGCATCTTCTTTTCAAAGCGGTGCCCCCCTCCCTGCTGTTCTTCTTCTCCCTTTTTATCTCTTTTTGTTTTTCTATCTGATTGAGAGAGGGGCAAACAGTCTCTCACTCTGTCCTCTCTGTAGCTACACTGCTGAGATCTGGGGCCCATTTCATAAAACTTTTTATCTATAACAAATGCTAAATTTCTATGACAAATTAGCTCTCAGCTAATCAGATGCCTTGATTTCAGTAGCTTATAACAGTAGCTTGTAACATGTTATTGATATCAAGTTTTATGAAACAGGGTCCAGGTATGACTAAGAGGAGAACCAATGAAACATTGCCTCAAAAAATAAAGCGGAAGTGATTCCTGCCCCATTGATTGCCAATTTGATGAACATTCATAAATCCTTAAATGGCCTGATTAATGGATGAATGGTTAATTCCATTGATGAAGTATTGGTGTGATGAAGTAATGATGTGATGCAGTGGGGTTGAATGGGAGGAAACTGGTTTAGCCTCAAGGGATCATGGGGGTGTCGGGCTGACATAGACGTAACTACAAAGGGAATTTGTAATTTTAAATGAATGGGAATACATGTACTGAGGTATACCCTGCAGATGGCTGGATGCGCACTTTCTATACACTAATCAGGACTGGTTTGTAATATTGGTTTCACATTAGTCACATGTTCTTTCTTGAACACATGAAGCTTAATGAACATGAATGTGAAACCGCATAATATATTTTGCCTTTCTTTGTTTGTCGTTCTTATATTAATTCACAAAAATACACGTACATGACTTACGTTTTATGGTATTTGATTTTTGGGTTTATAAATTACTTTCCTTCCTTCTTTTATGCACCAACCACAGTAATAAAGACATGTAGTTCTCCTATATGCTCATTTGAAAGTATATGAAAAATAATGAGATGAACAAAATGTAGGCCAACGTACGAACGTGCAAGTAAATGTGGTCTCTACTTTACATCACATACACTTGCCTTTCTTATAATTCATGAATTCACTATAGATGCAACAGTGACTATTAAGCTGCATGGCAACCAAGCCAGTTTTTAGGACATTATAAAAATATATTTCATGAGGTTAAGATTCTATAGTGCTCAGCTATAAAGTAAGCAGTGGTCTGAAACCATGGTGGGTAGGTAGTCTGCAGGATAGATAGCACATCCCATGTTTCCTTTGAGATCCCAGGAGATACTATCATAACTTGAGTGAAACCCATTTATCTTCTCCTCAAATCAGACATATATTGAAACATGATAGTTTATGCATCCTTGATCTTATAAACTACTTCCTCTAAATTTGTGAGGGGAAGGGCAAAGAAGAGCAAGTTTGGTTTAAAGTCTGGGGCAATAAAGATGAAATACCGACATTAAGTTTCTCTTCTCTTCTCATAAATTTTCTAATATATATAAATATTTTTCCATGTACATGCACAAATTTCTCAACATCCAATTCCGCCTCCCCCCCCCCCCCCTCCCCAGCCAGCTAGTCCTGTTTCTGTCCCATGAAACTTGAATCAAAGCACATAAAAATTAAAACCTAAATGTAAGTGCATGAAAGTAGTTCTGTCAATAACTCAAACAATTAAAATCTTTACATTGTAGCAGCCACAATCCATTACTTTTTAGCCCTGCCTATCTCTCAGTATTACAGTAGATATTCTTAACGTTGCTAACCTATATGTCTTTTTTAAATTATCACTTTCATATATTTATTATCAATATAATCTTTAGAGGACACTTTCTGTCATGACAATATAATGATTTACTGCTTTTCCACTACAAAGTGGTAACCATGGATACAGTAAGGTCATAAAGCGGTCCTAGTATTATTTCCTATTGTAATCACCATGTTAAGAACACAAGCGTGTCAATAACACTTCTACTGCTCTCAGAAACAAAGACAGTTTAATCTCTCTGGGTTAGTCTAATGGGTAACTGGTCTCTATACAGGGAAACCTAGGGAATTAATTGCATGCCTAAATTGATATTTGAGTTTAGGTTGGTCTCCTTATTATTATTTTTAAAAATCCAAGTACATTATTTTAAAGTACATGTACATCAATGAATTTCCAGAATAAATGAACAGCTAAATGTCTATAATGCTATTATGCAAACTAGTGTTACAAACAAGAAATGTTGGTAACATAAAACTTCTGAGAACATCATGAATGGCTCAGATTCAGGAAAGTTTCATGTTGTGAATGAAGTGAATAACTGACACGGGCAATGAATTTTCACAAATCGCAAAATTTCTTTCCACATGAACAGCTGTTACTCATTATCATGCCACAAAAAGTTCTGTTTTAATGGCATGTCTTCTACTCGTTTTGATTAAAAGAAAAGGAAAGAGTTTTGACCACTTACCGTATCATCTGGAGAATGTTCCTCTCCTGAAGATGACGACTGTTCCGTTGAATCATCATCACTACCAGCTCTGGTTTCACCAGGCATGAACCCTCCAATGTTGAATGATGTATCATAGCCTTGATCCTCTACAGAGTCCTCAAGCTCCTCTAGAGTTCCACGAGCACTATCAGGCTCGTGACGAATGTCCTCATCATCATCCTTATCATTCATCAGGTCGTAACCACCCACAGCATCCTCAGAGTCATCGGTGATGTCCGAGTCATCCGGTTCAAAGTGCGGAGGTTCGTCATCCTCGCTTCTCTCTTCTTCATCTTCTTCTTCTTGATCGCTGTCCAGGGTTGACTCTGGTAAGGACATGGCCATGGCAAGGATGTCGGTACTAGCTCCACCACCACCACCACCACCACCAGAGGTGATTAGACCACCACCACCATCACGACTCCTAGGAGATACATCAGACGTGATGGCTTCTGCTGTCAGGTTGATGCGATTCTTAGAGATATCATCTTCCATAGAGGGTGTAGGGGAGAGGAATGAGCATGATCCTTCAGAAGGAAGATCAGATACGATATCAGGTCTCTCCTCCTTGGATCCAGAACTCAGCTCAGCCACAAGTCCTGCTGATTCCACTTTGCCAGATACGGTAGCTCTTACAGGTTCATGGCTCTGTGCTTTGACTTCTGGAAAGGGAACGTCTTCAGTCTTACTGGGAATGTTCTTAGAGGAATATGGTGATTGGCTTAACGCTTCATGAATGTCATTAACTGAATACTCATCATCAATCGATTGTGTTTGCGGCTTTTTCGTGTCTACGCTTCTTTCTTGAGCAGCGGCGTGATTAGACCTCCTAGATGGCACCTCTGGAACATTCTTGCGCCGACTGCTCTCAACATCCACATTCAACTTTTCTGCATAATCAATATCAGGCCGATTAATTGCAATAATATCTGAGGCAGGCATCTCCTTTTTCTTTGGTGGATCTACATGATGAATCTCTGCATCACTGTACTCCCGAGAGAATGGTCTCGCCGACTGGCCAAAACTCCATCTTCTTGTGGAAGCACTGGAATCCTCTGATTGCCTTGAGGAGCGATTTCTCCTCATGACAACCTTAGATTCTTCAGCTACGACAGTCTCCTTATTACTAACGTCCATTGGTATGGCTTTGGTAGCTTCTACATCTCTGTTAACATCTCCATTCGCTTTAGGAAGAGAATCCTTTAATCTGTCTTCACTAGGTATATTTGCCACAGGTGGTATATACTTTGAATTTATTACTTCATCACCATTTGAAGCGGAATGTGATACATTGTCATCGGATTCGAATACCTCTGACTCAGAGTCCCTGCGGATACCAACCCCAAACGGCTCTCCAGATCTGTCCACATTTTCATGGATGCGTTTCTTGAAGACCGGAGGACTTGTAGGTGGGCTACTACTGGTCCTTCTGGGACCTGTTGTTGCCCTGCGTTGGATAGGAGGGCTACTCGCAGCCTCAAACTTCTTGAGGACATTTGTGAACCTCTTCCTTGGGTCATCTCCACTACCCTCCCCTGAGCCTTTCACCGGTACACCTGTAAAGTCCCCGCTTAGTCGCTGTTGAACGTTTACATTATACTCATTGCTGGCAGGTCTTGGACGACCATGTACTGACTTTGATTCTTTGTGCCGTAGTACAACCCCAGACAGTGAGGACTTGGCTGCATTGCTAGCATTGCTAGTTGTGGTGTTGGCATTGATGTTATCGGTTGTCTTGACTAGTCTTGGGGCAGGTGGAGGCTTGCCAGTGGTGGTAGACTGCTCCTCAAAGAGATGCCGTAGCTTGCGTACATTGGAGCTGATGGTAGACTTCTCACTGCCGCTTGGGTTACGACTGGCTGTTACTGCAGTGGACATGTTGATGTCAGCCAGGTCCCAGCACCTGAAATGAGCAATAATACAACCAAAAAAGAAATTAATGAATATTTGTTTTTGAAATTCTGTATTTAATGCTTATATTATAATGCAAAAACTGTTATAGGCAAATTGCACAAGAGCTTGAGATCATGAAAATATAAGCCATGAAATGAGTGAATCACAGCTGAAACAATTAAACAAATTAGCAATTTTCAATCATTTCAAGTGGCAAATTGTTCTGGCTTTACAGTGTACAACTCCTGTTAGAAACTGACTGTAAAATGTGAGACAAATTTTGGCAAACGATCTGAAAATTTGTCAAACAAATCAAAAGGAGCATGGAGATATCTCGCTATAGGAATGGGAATAAGTTGTATGATTGGATGGAACCTTGTTTTTAATTTCTACATGTATTTGCATTTAGACATACATGTACATGTATAACACAATACAACAAACAATGTAAGAAAAACACTTTAATACGAAATTACAAAAAAAGGCTTGACAAGAGAGTTACATGTCATCAGCTTGAGCCAGAAGGTTGTGAAATCATTTTATACAAGTACCTTTCTGACACTCAGCAGAGGATGTAAATTAATAACACTTGGTAAACTTTTGAAAACATATTACGTAGTTCAGATTTGAATAAAGATCTTCCTACCACACATTATTACACATTATCATACTGTCGGACAAAACAAAAACATTATTTAAAAGTCTGCTTTCATATACACAGGAATGTGTAGTGATTACCACGGTGTAATCATTGAAGACAATGTGCTAACAAAGTCAATTCTTTCCCAACCTAGCCATTACAACCATTCAAGACTTACCACTCAAAATCATTTTCAGACATTTCTTCATCTGATGACGACATGTTTCCTAAATCAATATCCACTCAGTACAGGAATAATGAAACGGTCTTCACTGACCACCTACATCAATGTCCACTCAGTAGGGAAATAATGAGATGGTCCTCACTGACCAGCTTTCCAATTCAACAACTCTATATACACCATACAGTATGTTCTATTCCTAAAGTATTTATAGGATAGCATGTATTCCAACAGATCCACTATAATCCCATGTGACTAACTGCCTTTCAGCATCTAGTGAAGACAGTAGAGCAACAGCATCCAGACTTCCATATGAAGCCTGTGAGTGCTACTGACAGCTGTGTATGGAGTCACTAGTGATGTACTGACAGATCAGCATACATAGCTAGCCCGGTCGGTCGGTCGGTCGCGATACATCAACGACGTCATGTGCAGTATGTGACTACACTTTTATGCACACATGAATAAAACATAAAGGGCTGACTTGTATGATCATTCCTTCTGTGCAATTTACGCGATTGCATTTGCAGAAGTATACACGTCCAAAATGTCAAACAGCACAGCTGAAATTGAAGAACATCATTCGGTATTACTTCTTTACAAGATACGACAGATAGTATAAAGAGCAGGTCTCATGAGAACAATTCTGAACAATCTGTACGATCAGACATGAATATGATGCCATTTAAATTCAAAGGTTCTTCATGCACAGCTACATGAATATCCACAACCATGAAGGTCAAAGCCAGAATTACCAATGGATCAAAAATTGTTTGTCCTTTCTCAGCAATGTTTTGCTCGTCTAATTAGCAGGAAGACAATGTAGGTCTGCATGTTCACACCAATATCCTGTATACTTCCTAGTACAATCAAGTATCAATTAAGAAAACAGGCGATATAAACAAGTCCGTATTGTGGATACCACTCTCTCTCTCTCTCTCTCTCTAGAATGTGCCTTCCGATAATATTGCAGAATAATATAAACCTATATAGACGCACATGCCAAGAATTACATGTATGTCTCGGAGCTTTCTTGAGAACATGTCCAAAGCGGCACACCTAAATGATGCGATTACTTCCGACTAAGGTTTCTTTGATCCTATTAGAGATTCAGTAGATCGAGTGTGCGTATCTATGGCATTGGTTCGCTGATTTGGGGCCCTATTGTAGAGATCTGTGAGAACGAATGCAGGAAGTTTGAAGTAAGGTCTAAACAAAGCAAGAGCAAAGCAGAGATAAAGGACAGGCTTATCACCGTCTTTGTGGCCTACCTTGACTGCATGCCCAGGAACATTAATCCTATGATTATATAATGTGCACTAGCTGAATAATGTAACAATGGCACAATAAGGGTGATGTTTGAAGATGTAGTATGATTGAGGCCAAACATCAATTACATTATAAACAAATAAACACAAACTATCTAATGTCCAATTGTTCTCCTGGGTCCTCGAATATCAGTTATCAATCCTTCTACAGACTGGGTTTCTATCTCAGACCCTTGTACACAAAACTCAATGACTCATAGAATGAAAGATTCCAATTTAAAAGAAGTGATACACAAGTAATCAGAACTTTCAAAGTTTTCAACATGTCACCGAGGATAGGCCTGCATATTTCAAATTTGACAGATGGACCGATTGCTGAATGGCATGGATGAGGCCTTTATGATACTCAAATATTGGGGCTTTCACAACAACATTGTCTGAAGAGGAGCTCCAATGAAAACTTGCAATCCCAACATAAATCAAACAGAACTAATTACAGAGTTCATGGATCTGCACAGATCACGAAGAACGATGGTTTCATGTACTGAACGTATAGACAAATAAAACAATGAAAGATGGCTGACACAGAGAAGTTCAACAGCTGCCTAGAATGTATTGAGACTGGGTACGATGCAGATGCTAGTTGAGATCTTTAGGAGATCAGTGCTTGATTGAAAAACTGTGATCTTGATATCAACTGCAAAATATCCACACAGATCACTCTAGAACTCTTTAGAAGTGTACATGTATACTACAAACAGATCTATAGAGAAACAAGTAACGTTGTCCCGTCGCCAAGGATGTACATGTATAGGACCAGGTCTGATCTACTAGATGTTGAGGAGATGAGCGATGCTGGAGACGTTTGTTTACTATGGTGGCCCTGAAGGGACATCGCGAATAGACTAAATCGTGAAAAAATGCGATAAAATTCACGATATCGTCAATTTTATCGCATATTTTTCACGAAGAAATTCACGAAATTGACGATATCGTGAACTTTATCGTGAACTTTTCACGATGAAATTGACGATATCGTGAATTTTATCGTGAAAAGTTCACGATATAAAGTTCACGATATCGTCAATTTTATCGTGTACTCTCCTGACGGGCGCTTCGTAAACAAAACCAGCCCTAGCTGGGGGAGACAGAGAGAAGGAAAAAAGGGAAAGGGAAAGAGAAGATAAAAGGAAAGAAAGAATAATAAGAAGAAAAGAGGGAAACGGGGGGGGGGCGAAGGGCTCTTGCCTCCTCCTCACTCCCCCCCCCCCCCGCCAAAAAATAAATAAGGAGAGAAGGGAAAGGGAAAGGGAAAGAAAATATAAAAGGAAAGAAAGAAGAGGAAGAAGGAAAGAGGGAAACGGGGGAAGGACGAAAGGCTCTTACCTCCCCCCCCCCGCCAAAAAAATAAATAAGAGCGAGAGAGAGAGAGAGAGAGAGAGAAGGGAAAGGGAAAGAAAGAAGAGGAATAAGAGGGAAACAGGGGAAGGGCGAAGGGCTCTTGCCTCCTCCCCCCCCCCCCTCCCCGCCAAAAATAAATAAGAAAGAGAAGGGAAAGGGAAAGAAAATATAAAAGGAAAGAAAGAAGAGGAATAAGAAGGAAAGAGGGAAACGGGGGAAGGGCGAAGGGCTCTTGCCTCCTCCCTCCCCACCCCCCGCCAAAAAAATAAATAAGAGATAGAGAGAGAAGGGAAAGGGAAAGGGAAAGAGAAGATAAAAGGAAAGAAAGAAGAGGAAGAAGAAGAAGAAGAAAAGAGGGAAACGGGGGCGAAGGGCTCTTGCATCCCCCCCGCCCAAAAAATAAATAAGAGAGAGAGAGAGAGAGAAGGGAAAAGGAAAGAGAATAAAAAAGGAAAGGAAGAAGAATAAGAAGAAAAGAGGGGCTCTTGCCTCCTCCCCCCTCCCGCGCCAACAAATAAATAGGAGAGAGAGAGAGAGAGATAGAGAGAGAAGGGAAAGGGAAAGGGAAAGAAAATATAAAAGGAAAGAAAGAAGAAGAAGACGGAAAGAGGGAAACGGGGGAAGGGCGAAAGGCTCTTACCTCCCCCTCCCCCCTCCCGCCATAAAGGGAAAGAGAAGGGAGAGGGAAAGAAAATATAAAAGGAAAGAAAGAAGAGGAAAAAGAATAAGAAAAGAGGGAAACAGGGGCGAAGGGCTCTTGCCTCCTTTTTTTTCTTTCTTTTCCTTTCTTTCCTATTCTCCCTCTTTTTCGTTTTTCTCTTTCTTTCTTCTCTTTCCCTTTCCTTCTCTCTCTCTCTCTTATTTATTTTTTGGCGGGGGGCGGGGGGACGAGGCAAAAGCCCTTTGCCCCCGTTTCCCTCTTTTCTTCTTCTTCCTCTTCTTTCTTTCCTTTTATCTTCTCTTTCCCTTTCCCTTTCCCTTCTCTCTCTCTCTCTGATTTATTTTTTGGCGGGGAGGGGGGGGGGGGGGAGTGAGGAGGAGGCAAGAGTCCTTCGCCCCCCCCCCCCCCCCCGTTTCCCTCTTTTCTTCTTATTATTCTTTCTTTCCTTTTATCTGCTCTTTCCCTTTCCCTTTTTTCCTTCTCTCTGATTTATTTTTTGGCGGGGAGGGGGGGGGGGGGAGTGAGGAGGAGGCAAGAGCCCTTCGCCCCCCCCCCCCCCCCCCCGTTTCCCTCTTTTCTTCTTATTATTCTTTCTTTCCTTTTATCTTCTCTTTCCCTTTCCCTTTTTTCCTTCTCTCTGTCTCCCCCAGCTAGGGCTGGTTTTGTTTACGAAGCGCCCGTCAGGAGAGTACACGATAGAGTACACGATAGAGTACACGATAAAATTGACGATATCGTGAACTTTATATCGTGAACTTTTCACGATAAAATTCACGATATCGTCAATTTCATCGTGAAAAATTCACGATAAAGTTCACGATATCGTCAATTTCGTGAATTTCTTCGTGAAAAATATGCGATAAAATTGACGATATCGTGAATTTTATCGCATATTTTTCACGATTTAGTCTATTCGCGATGTCCCTTCAGGGCCACCATAGTTTACTACAGGCTCTTCCAGCTATAGAGGAAACAGGATGAGTCAAAACCACAACTAGTCTACCATCAACAAGTACACAGTCCCAGGTCAATTCTGGTTATTAATGACTCTACATTAGGCACGTGCTAGTACTAGAGTGATACAAATAGGTTTGACATGTGTTTGTTTGATAAATAATAGGATCAATTATAATAAACAAAACACAAGTTTTAAACAAACTATAAATGTTGGCAAAAGATTTTTCAAGAAGTAAAAGTGGAGTTCTAACAAACTTTTGAACTTATGCAGGGAAATTTGATGGCAATGTAACAAAAGGAATGTGTTTTGGAGTGTCTAGCTGTAACCAAAGAAACTTGCATATATCAAAATAAGCAAGAAAAATCCACACAGCTATGAATTTTCATTTTATTCCGCATTTCACTATACCATTTTCAAAATATAATGAGAATGAAAGCTTGAATTGGACACTCCTAGTGCATCTTAATATTTTATGTAGGAACTTTCTTGTGCACATTTTGTATTTTCATACATGTTTATTCATTCATGTGATTTCGAATTTTCCAACAATGTCTTCTTCATTATTCCATAGCACGGAGACATTGCATCTCAAGTGTCTATCGACCAAGACTATATAGGCAAGACATGTCTGTCAGTCAGTCTGTCTGTCAGTCAATGTAGTTATCCATAAGGGCAATGAGAAGGCAAGCATTCTATTCTAATCTTTCTTTGTTTGTATCTATAGTCCTGACTGTCATGATACCACAGATGAGGTAGTATATATTGCAATCATTTATATCAATTTTCAGGCAAACATTGTGGTGGGAGAAATTTATTACAAATTTATAGTCTGAAAAGCAGACTTCATTTAAAGCTTGTGTCAAATCATTGCATTTATAGCAGAGAATAGTCAATTACATAATGTTTTTCATTCAAATTTCATGACTAATTTTGTTCAATTATATTTCAATTATGTTGATTTCATAACAGATTTTTACAGCAATTTGTGTGGACTGAAGGTTGCTAAAATCTGCTGAGGTTGATAGGTAGAATAACGATGAAGATGACTTGACTCTATCTACATGTACATACATTGAAGAAGGTAAAGGGTATACCCTATGACATTCACTTGATTAGCATTACTTGTATAAAGTTTTTATGTTTATTTCAGCATGTTGGCTTAACGAACCACCCCTTCTCCCCTCCCTTGATAATCTTATCCCCTACTCCCACTCTGGCTCATCCTAAATATTAATTTCCACGGTAACTCATGACCTTTTAATTTTGCCCATGAT